CTCTGGTTCTTTCTATCTCCTGCTCTCTGTTACCTGAGCAACGAAGATTAAGAAGAATGGCCAAGAGACTTACTACATCAATAAAAACACAACAAATTTCCTAGATGCGCAGCTGCGCAGGTGCAAATTGCATAAAATAAAATATAAATATAAAGGTATAACCTCTAAATTAAGTCAATTCCATATAGTAAAAACATTAAAACTAAGCCAACAGTTTTTGATGGGCCTTTATTCTAAATTATAAGGACTGTTATATAGCTATCATAACGTGTTAAAATTTTACAAATAAAGGCTAGAGACAGAATGAGAGAAATTATTAAAAATTGATTGTATAACATATAAAATGAAATATGTGTTTTATTATGTAACTCAACTGAGAAAACTGCTTTCGAAAGAGCATATAACGTCGGTGTTCTGCGAATTCAACAAATTACTACATCTCTGCACATGATATTTACAAGTCATTTTAGAATAAGATTATTTTCGCCATTTTCACATCGGATGATATACAAGAGAAAGGTACAAATATGAAAGTTAAACATTTTCCTTTTTGCTTTCTCACTACCGAAGATAGGGAAGCATTGTATTTGTGCGAGAGGTTAAAAAAAAAATTGTGCTCAGAATTGGAAATTTCCACTCACGTTTTACGTTTCAGACATCAAGGATCAAATTTGTTTCGGTCTCTGTCTGTCTGTAGTCAAATCGATGTAACGAGCATATCACCTACTACCATTTATCCGATTTTCATGAAATTTTCAGAAAGTGTGCGGGTTGGTGTCTAGATGGTCCCATATCAATTTTATTAAATTATAATCAGCAGTTCTGCTTACGCACGTGCAAACGCATTTTTGTAGATATGCCAATATTTTAGGAACGGTTCGTTCGATTTGGCTCAAAGTTGGATGAAAGGTAGGTATTTGTGAAAAAATATTGTAGGACTAATTTTATAGAATTATTTCTATTGCTTTCTCTTATATATATATATATATATATATATATATATATATATATATATATATATATATATGCTCAAACGTGTTTTCCTTGATACGTCTATAACTCTAAAACCGCAAGTTCAATTTGTTCAAATTTGAAGAGAATTTAGGGATTGGTAAACGTAAAATGAAATAGGCATCAATGTTATCAAATTCTATCTAACACTCCAGAAAAAAATATTCCCGCTTTCAGATCAGGAAATGTGTTATTTGACATGCCTATAGTTTTAAAACGGCGCATTCTTTTTGACCCAAACTTGGAAGAAATTTGGAGAACAGTATAGAAATAACTTAGTATCAATTTCATTGAATTCCATTTAATAATTAAAATTAATATAAATAATTGTTAACAATATAATGGCTGTGAAATGTTGAAAGCACTGATCATATGGAGTGGGAGTGAAGTTATTACAATATTATTATGGGTTTATAAAATTTTAGGTTTTATTCAAAAACATAATTGATACTGTATTGTTTGATCGAATTCAAAAGTTACTGACATGACACTTATTGCTGTTACTTAGATTTCGTGTAATTTTTACTCTCAAATTGTAAAAAAAAAGTCTTATTTGTGATTGTGTTTATTTCCATTGAAGTTCAGCCAGTTGGTCTCGATTTCCTGCTTAGATATCGAAGTTGTATGAACTTTACTCATATTTTTATATTCCAGCTTAATTATTTTTGTTCTGACTGAAGAAAAGTATTGGTCTCGTTAACTCCAAACAAACATCAAGTTGAATTTTTCTTATGGATTTTCTAGTCCCATCCATTTTACGAGTGAAAACATACCTATTAAGTATATATCAACACTATTAGTGCAAATGGTCGTATGTAAAAATTTTCAACTTTTATTATATTTGTGCTAAATGTGACATTTTTAGTCCGCAACTGATATAAGTAGTCTACTACTTTGGAAAATAGAAGAGGGCAATAAAATATGAAATAATACTAATAAAGCATAAAGAAATAATTAGTTTTTATGTTCTCTTGTAAAATAATCTATTTTTACATACGACCTTTTGCACCAACAGTAGTGGCATGCATGTTCAGTATGCATTTTTTTTTAATTGAGGATAATCAAATATGGAATCTTCAAATGTGGCACTCTTTCGTATTTTAATATTAGCTGATCAACGAAATTCGTGGATATCAAACCCACAAATGTTGAAGGGTAACTTTATTTCTGAATCGGCTTCTCCCAGGGATTTTATTCTCATACGAAAAATTGTATAACTTGTAATGTAGATATATTTTAGCCAATGAAAACGGTGAGGAAGCTATAGTAACCTTACTTGGCAGACTTTTTTTTTTTTTTACACATAGAACACAATTTATATAATACATCTTTTTTACAGAAGCCGAAAATGTTCATAAAACGAAATAATTTTTTATCTCGTTTTTAATTAATGAACTGAATCGAAGCCTCCCCATTCCAATCATTACTTAACAAAACTGATAGATCAATTCACTTTCTCTCTCAAGCCTATAGTTATTGTAACTATTTAACTAGTATTTTCATTTTACTGAATTTGTACTTACTTACTACGTAGCTCTACTGCCCGAGGAGAGCCTTCCCTGACAAAATTTCACCAGTCCTCTCTGCACAACGCTCTCCTCCTCCAGTTCCTTATACCGAGAGTTTCCAGGTCTTTTTCCATATCTTGAATCCACTTCGAGGTCGTCCTCTCCTTCCGGTGCCATACTTTTTTCCAAGCAGAATTCTTTTTTGCATTCTCACTTTATTCATCCGTGTTACGAGACCCGACCATGCACCTTGCTCGTACGAACCGGACAATGTTACAAGATCCATATAGCTCATATAGTTCGATGTTCTTCCGGATTCTCCAATCAATCTCTTTCAATACATGTCCATAAATTTTACGGAGAATTTTCCTCTCGAAAACCTCCAAAGCATTTATTGTGGGGGTGCAAAGGATCCAAATTTCCGCATAAAATGTCATACTGGTCTTACCGATGTTTTATATAACCTTATTCATGTTGTTCGTGACAACAGCGATGAGGGGAAGAGTTTTATGTTTGTCTAGTAAGCCCGGTTACCTGCCATAATAAGTCTATTCACATCTGCTGATAATTCAATTTTGCAATTAAGCTCTACACCAAGATAGGAGAAGGATTTAACGTTTTCGAAAGAAAAACCTTCAACGCACAGACCTTCTCTAGCTCTTGAGTCACTGCCTGCACCACCACCACCAAGAAAACATCATCAGCGTATGCACATATTTGAGTAGATAAATAGGATATGTACAACTGTACTTTTATAAAATGTCACTTCTCATTCCTTTTTATGGTAATCCGGCCCGGTCTGATTAGGTGGGCTGGTCGATCGCCGATGGTCACAGACAAATTTGTGCACTTCAAAGATTTTATATAAGGATGGAAAGAAGTTGTACTACCAAACCACTTCTCTCTGGGAAGAAGAAGAGAAGCAGACGAGGCTCAAGTGAAGAGCAAGCTCTGTGTACAGCTGAGAAAGAGAATGTAGTAGTTTAAAAATGCAGTAATGGGTTATGTAACAGTAACATCCCACTGCTTCAAATACTTATATTGCCTAGCGGTAGGGGAGGATTCAAAATACATAAATAATAACAAAGTTTCAAACCATATGATGGTGCCGTCTCAACGAATCGAGGCATTTCACATGAATTCATGATTTGCAATAACTCGAAAAATACGCAATGTTTGGTACATCATACATGAGTATTTGGAAGCTGAGTATTTTGGACTAAATTCCCTACAGAACGTAAAAAAAAAACTCATCGAAATCGGACGATTTGGTGCAGTTATATGCGTTCTAAACATTTAGTACTTGTACTGCAACAATTCTGTTACATATGGGAATTTAAGACTTTGAGAATAGGCCCTTTTTTCCGAGGTACAGTATGTAATGCATCTATTATTAATTATTTTTTTAATTTCAAAACATTTTATTCTTTTTAATTAATTAAATTATTAGTTTTATTTTTATTTATATAAATGTGGTTTCCTTAAAACACTTCTTGGAGTGATTATCAATTACTTTTAGGTATCATTTACTTGAAGGTATCATTTTAAAAATACACTTTCATTTTTTTTTTTAATGTTAAATTAGAATACATCCTGATCGCACTATTTCTCTCTTAGAATTTGTGCCTTTTGTCTTTTGCTTTCATCAGATGTTTAAAGCAATGCATATAAGCTTTTGTTAATTTATGGTTTATGTCTAATGAAGGAAAAAGATAAAATATAGTAATAAGTTTAAGGAAAACGGTTAAACCATGGTAGATTGTACATCATATTTATAATTGATGGCTTACTAAATATATGTATCAAACATTATTGAATGGTTGTTGTACTGAGCTCTTAATGTGTTAAAATCATATACAAATATTAGGTTTATGGTGAATATTCGCACAGGTGAGCTAGTAAATTATTATATTCTTCGTTCTCAAAATATTGGCCTTCTCTTCTTAATAACAGTAAAAGCGAAAGTATAATTAGAAACATTGTTCCCTTATTTAAAGTTCTTTCATAATTGAAACCCTAGAAAAATATTATTATCTCGGAAAATTCATAGCCCAGTCAAAATGCGCCCTCTCCCCTCAAAAATTTTAAAAATGTGGATCCTTAAACATTTTAATGGCACAACGTGTCCTATGAAACTCCTTTCTGGGTACCCCTGATCCGCGATATCACAAGAAACAACGTAACTTATGATGGTTAATAGAATCTTAGGCATTTTGAATTAGATATAAAATTGGATGAAAAAACCATTATATCTGAAAGTCTTCTTGCATTTTCTAAATGGGACATGTTGATGTAATTTATGAAAATAGGCTTTAGGCTTATAGTAGTGGGTTATAGTATTCTAATACTGCCATCTCAATAGAGTACAGAGTAGTACTCCAAAGCGCCATTCATACTCATTGTGTGAGCCAGCTTCGATTGCGAAAAAAAAAACCTCAGAAACCTCCCCCTACCGAATCTTTATTTTAAGCGAGTTTAGACAGGAAGATGACTTGGCTATTTTTAGCCAGTCGTGGGCCGGGAACCGACGCTTCCCCATGTCTGATGTTTTTCTCTCTACGCCTCCGTTCAAAGAAGGAAGAAAATAGGTCGAGGAAGTCCGGGAAATGTGAGTATCCAATAGTGTATCGAATTATCGGTGGAATCTATGGCGTTTTAACGTTTTAGGGCGTACACCGCCTGCCAAATCGGGCACAACCCGATCTACTGCTAGTTAAAAGTGAGATGGGATCGATTTCGAATAAAGAATGTCAACAAACTATGAGTAATTTATAATGCCAATACAGTGAAATTAAAAGCTTCCAATCATAAGATTTCTTTTTTATTAAAAAAAAAATACCAGTTAATTTCCGCAAAAGTTGTATTTGAAGAAATGTTTACCCAAAACGTGACAGACCAACTGATTATTATTTATTTAAAATAGTAATTTTTATTGATTTTTTTTTTGTTGACATTGCTTCCTACAAGTTAACAATTTTTCAGTGATCCTAATATGTATAAGACACAATAATAACATTAAAAGTAGACAATATTTTACGAATTAAATAAATACTTCCGATATTTTACGTTGCAATATAGGATAAAAAAAAAACACTAACAAACTTTCCTATTATACTTATATATTTCCCAATATTGTTGACCTCGATTTTATTTGTTACTTTTGAGAATTGTTCCAATTTTTCGTAGAATGGTTTTCTTTTTAATGGAGTACACAATGGGTGAAATGAAAGGCAAGTAAACTTTTTGTTTTATTGTAATTTGTTTCAATTTAGTTTATAATTTTCATTCACAGAATGACAAACTCAGCTATGAAGTTAAAAAGGCATAGCTGTTGTTTAGCAGTTTATACCGGATTAGTATAATATATATTACTTCTTGAAATTACCACATCTTGTTTTTCTTTTCATGTAAAGTATAAATTATTTTAACCAATTTTTTCGCACATTGTTTGCTATAGAAACAAAACGTAACAATTATTTTTCAAAGTCAAAATATAACTATATACATAGTTTTTAGTATGGGAGTTTTTTTTTTTAATTTGAAACCTATGTTTTATTGCTCCATCCAATCATAATGTATTTACACGCTTAATGTAACCATTAAAAATGGATAAAATAAAATTATTTGACATTTCAATTTAATAACATCACATAGCCAAAGCACTAATTTATGTTAGTAAATGAATTTTAATGCGTTATGTTTAAAAGTGTTTAAAAGTAAAATGTTTTGACTGATAGTAATAAATAGTTTTCATTTTATGCAGTTTTTCGATTATCATCAAAGATTAGATTTATAGGAAATATGATAAGCCTGTGTACTCTCTGCTGAATAGGTTCTTTAACTTTCTATTAAAACGAAAACAATCATAATTCTACAATTTTGCGAGTATATACAAACTCAAAATTGCGGAGTATTGTAATACGCTTACTTAAATAAATGCAGATATTCTTTGTGGGTTTGTGTATGTGTAAAAAAAAAAAAAAAAAAACACAAACAAATATATATATGTGTGTGTTTGTGTATGTGTAATTTTTCCTCATCATAATCATCTAATCTAAAGAATTCTGAGGATAGAATGCGTGGATTGTGAGGGGAAAAACATTTTATTTATTCCAGGAGATGGTTGGGAGGGAGGGTGCGATAAAATAAATACAAAATTGTTAAAATAGTATTTTATTATATTTTATAGTATTTTCTTTATTTGTATTCTCATCATGTTTTCTTCAGACAATTCTTTAATCTATGATATTTATATATTAAATTTTTTGAACATTTTCAGATTAATTACCATTATACAGTCCCAAACCTTTAGCTACTTTAATTCTTGAAATTTCTTTCTTTAGGATAAGCGACTCAACGCTTATAAACGTTACCTAACGATACAATAGGAATTCCATTTTTTTTTTCTTTTTTTTTTTTGTGAATGAATGAGCTTAAACTTGTTAAAAATGTCAGAGCAGTAACCGACCCGTTTTAATCGACTATTTTCTAAGCTAAGTTACTAGATATAGGTTTTCTTTTTAAAACTTTTAACATTTAATCAAAAAGAAGACTTTAGAGTTGCGACCCAAATCGATATTATCATTTCTAGAAAAGAGAAGGTGAAGAGTGTTTACAGTGATGTGAAGTAGAGAATAATATAAACTATTAAAAAAAAAGAAGTAATATTACATTATAAACCAATGAAGATAAAAAAAAATAATTCAAAATTGAATGAATTACTAAAAACTTATCAAAGATTTATTATTACAAAGAACTAAAAATAAATCATTAATCTATTTGATAAATAACCATAAATTCATCAGAACCGAATAGTTTTTTTTTTTTGTAAAATACTTCAACACTGGTGGTATTAGAAAACACAATACATTTCCCAAATACAAACAAGAAATCATGAACTCATAACAAAGCTAATAAAAGTTTGTTTTCGTTCTTTGAATATTTAGCCCGACTGCAAGTTTTCATTTTTTTTTTTTTTTACTTCCTAAAAAAAGTTATAGATATACCGATACATCGATATAAATAAAATCTGAAAAAATATTGATTTATTTTAAAATACCATTATATTTATATTTTTCCAATATTCCTAACTGCCAAATAATCATGAGTGTCTTTTAGTGTTACCGATGGTAGGGAAGCTTTGTACCCGTGTGGGAGTTTAAAAAATATTTTGCTCTAGGAATCGAAATTTTCCTCTCACCTCTATAATCAAATCCGAGAGATGAGCACCTTGTACCCAAGTCACCTTACAAACGTTTTCACAAACAGAGATTATGTAAGTTGGTATCTAGAAAATCTCATACCAATGTAATCAACATCCATCCACTACTTTCATTTATAAATAAAAAAATACCATCTAGAAGAAGAATAACGCAACTGCCAATAGGATTAAATATTAGTACACTAAAATAAATAGCGTCTCTAAACAGTTTTACCTTCAGGCCATGTCTTGTGATATTTATTATCAAATTTGTCAAAAACCGAGATATATTTCTATAAATGAAACTTTAGTTGTAAAATGAGCATTTTAAAAGAAAAAAACCCTGCAGTAAAAATTGTAGTAATCTTTTAAATTTTACTATGTAATCAAAAGAACTTTCGCGGACCATAGTTTGGATACCTCAACTCTTAAGTATTCAGTCACCAGAAATGCCCAGAAGGGTATTTCATGGCGCTAGTTGCGCCAGTTTGAAGAGCATATATTTTTATGGGATTTTGAATTTTTGAGGAAAGAATATTTTAATGAGGTTTTGGATTTGTTGATGCAACTATATTTTTGTGATGTTCAATTCAATGGACCTTTAAAAGCAAGCAACAAAGGGGAAACAATTGAACGGACATCAAGTGTAATTGTATTTCATCTTCAATATTTCCAAATTTTACTTTTGATTGCACTGCTTTTAAAAAGAAGAGAATAAATAAAACTTTTTGAGGGTGGGGGGTCCCGCGCCATCAATCTTGGGGGAAGAGGGTGGGCACCCCTGTCTATGAATAGTATAGGGACAACTGTAAGGTAAAGTAAAAAATTATTATATATATATATGTGTGTGTGTGTGTGTGTGTGTGTGTGTGTGTGTGTGTGTGTGTGTGTGTGTGTGTGTGTGTGTGTGTGTATATATATATATATATATGTGTGTGTGTGTGTGTGTGTGTGTGTATATATATATATATATATATATATATATATATATAATATAGAGAATAGAATAGAATAGAAGAATCAACTTTATTCTGGGACTACGTCCCTTGAGAATAACAATATTGTACATAAAATTAACATTACATCTGGCCAAAATGTATATTACAATAAACAAAAACAAAAACAAAAAAAAACTAAAAAATAAGGGATAAAAGAAGTATTTACATAACTGTACAGATATAGTAAGATAATATGAGCAATAAGGTCCTAATACTGCAAAATAGTTGCTATACACAATGAGCTATGGAATTATAAATGAGCGACAAATAAATATATATATATATAACATATATAAAATTATGTAAAGTAATATAAGTACATCAATAAAAATAAATACCAATTAAAAATGTACATAATAAATAAGAAACCAAAATATAAAAATTTAAAATAAAAAATATTTTGGCGTCCACTAATTTTTTTTTTCCTTTCTTGCCTTTTAGGCTACACGAGTTTTTTTCCCGGGCCGGGTGGTGGGCGGGTGAATTATACCGGGTCAAAATGGCGTCACCTAGCTATTATATTTTTCCATATCTTAAAGAATATTCGAAAATAAAAACATTAATTCTCAACAGACGTGCCCATATCCTCCCCCTCCTCTCACCCCAAGTTAATGGTGCATGGAATACATACTTTATTGCTCTCTGCTTTTAAAAAACATCTCAAGCGAAAATTTGATTCATTCCAGGTCATTAACAATTTCACTTGCTACAGTCTACTCCATAGGTGGGGAAACTTTTTATCGTCAGAGGCCGCAGTAAGGTTAGGCAGTGCTAAAGGAAGCCGCAATAATTCTTTATTTTTTGCCGTTGCTATTTTTATTTTCACTAAATACACACACCCACATACATACATCTAACTTAATTCTATTAATTCCCAGATTGTTGTAACTTGTAATGAAATATTAATTAATTCTAGCACTAGAATAGACGTAGTCGCAACTACGTCACAGAGGCTACATGCGGCCGTCTATGCCGCGGTTAGCCACTTACGGTCTATTTTATTTTTTCCCTCATCCCCAAGTTTGAAACTTTTTATTCAAAAAATTCCCCCTATGTGTGCCCCTCTCTAAAAAAAAAACTCGGTCAAAATGTAACTCCATACATGCTTTTTTGGAGGAACTTGCACCATGAAACCTCCTTCTGGGCATCCGTAATTCTCAAGATGGGATGGATAATCCTGAAACATTATATTATGAAATATTCATAATAATGAAAGATTTAGATTACAAAGAAATCGATATGTAGTTTACAATACCTAAATACAATATTTGCAATGAGTGAACATAATACAAAAAAAATTAACACTGAAAATAGTTTGAATAATCTGAAGCATCCAATGTAATCATTTGACACCCACTTTACAAAAATAGAATCGAAATATTTTCTTGCTGTTTTGTTTACATGCATTTC